CCTGCCCCAGGTCCAGGGAGGAAGAACTCCTTTGGTGACGGGGTGGGGAACTGACCCTGTTGCTCTGTTTGGATTCTGTAAGGTGTGCGGGGCGGGGTGGGATTGGCGGCTTTCCAAAATGGAGGCTCTGTGCCCGATTCAAGAATTGGATGGACCATTGAGGTCCCACCTGGGGTAACCACGTAGGGGGGAAGAGAAAGTGGTCTCTCGGGGCAGCCGGCTTCTCGAGACCTGTGTCTTTTTCACTTATGATAATGGCCCCTATTTTCCACTCTCCCAGCCACCTGTGTGTGAGTTCAGAGGCCCCAACTTCTTCTGAGATAGTTCCCCACCCCATTCCCAGGAGGGTGGCTGTCCTCCTCACTGGGCCCCGAATCCTTCATCACCTCCCCGGTCCCCAGCCTATCCCCCCTCCCTAGAGGGGCCGCATTCTCAGGAGGGAGCTGCCTCTCATCCCAGGGCCTTTTTAAAAAAAAAATTATTTTTTTTTAACTTTTATTTTTGGCTGAGTTGGGTCTTCGTTGCTGCACGAGGCCGTTCTCTGGTTGCAGCGAGCAGGGGCTACTCTTCATTGCGGTGCGCGGGCTTCTCAGGCTCTAGGCGCGTGGGCTTCAGTAGTTGTGGCACACGAGCTCTAGAACGCAGGCTCAGTAGTTGTGGCGCACGGGCTTAGTTGCCCTGCGGCATGTGGGATCTTCCCAGGCCAGGGCTCGAACCCGTGTGCCCTGCATTGGCCGGCGGGTTCTTAACCACTGCGCCAACAGGGAAGCCCCTCATCCCAGGGCCTTGGGGCCAAAGTCAGGGCATCTGTAGCTGTGTGGCTCCAATGCTGGTTCTACAGTCCCAGGTCTCCTCTGCTTCTCCCATTTTCTCAGATCCTGGGGACATTGAGAGAGAACACCGTTGCTGCTCTTAACTTTGTTCCAGGCTGGGCTCCAGGAAGGATCTGGGCTTGATGAAGCGAGAAACTCAGACTGGAAACTGGGTATTCAGAGGACAGAGAGCCCCGGGTTGTGAGAGAGAGAGAGGGATAGAAAGAGAGACTTCTTGGGGGTGTAGTTCTACATGGGGCACAGGGAGAATGTACAAGTATTTCTGGGTGCGCACACATACCCGTGTGTATATGGATCTTGGTGTGTACAAGAGTCAGTCTTTGGATACCTGTGTGTATGTGAATCTATATTTGTAAATATGCATAAATCTGTGTGTGAGTCAGCGTGTATTTATGTGTTGTGCGCACGTTTTATAATCTCTATTTATGGATGTGCCTGTATGTCCGTGTCCATCTTTGAGTGTGTGTATGTGTGTAGCTTTGTACCTTATACTCCTGAATCTGTATATGCATACATATGTGTGCACCGCTGTGTCTTTGGCCAGTATCTTTGGGAGTATGTGTACATGTCAGTGTGTCTGAGCATACCTGTGTACAGGTCTACCTTTGTGCATGTATGTGTGTGTGTATCTGTACAGCTATCTGATGAAATGTGGAGTTTTTTTTTTTTTAATAGACCTTTATTGGAGTTTACTTGCTTCACAATACTGCGTTAGTTTCTGTTGTACACCAAAGTGACTCAGTCATATGCATACATATGTCCCCATATCCCCTTCCTCATGAGCCTCCCTCCCACCCTCCCTATCCCACCCCTCTAGGTCATCGTAAAGCACTGAGCTGATCTCCCTGTGCTATGCGGCTGCTTCCCACTAGCTAACTATTTTACATTCGGTAGTGTATATATGTCGCTACTACTCTCACTTAGCCCCAGCTTCCCCCTCCCACCCCATGTCATCAAGTCCATTCTCTATGTCTACATCTTTTTTTTTTTGATTCCATATATATGTGCTAGCATACGGTATTTGTTTTTCTCTTTCTGACTTACTTCACTCTGTATGACAGACTCTAGGTCCATTCACCTCACTACAAATAACTCAATTTCATTTCTTTTCATGGCCGAGTAATATCCCATGGTATATATGTGCCACATCTTCTTCATCCATTCATGTGTCAATGGACACTTAGGTTGCTTCCACGTCCTGGCTATTGTATAGTGCCGCAATGAACACTGTGGTACATGAGTCTTTTTGAATTATGGTTTTCTCAGGGTATATGCCCAGTAGTGGGATTGCTGGGTCATATGGTAGTTCTGTTTTTAGTTTTTTAAGGAACCTCCATACTGTTCTCCATAGTGGTTGTAGCAATTTACATTCCCACCAGATGTGGAGTTTTTGGAACAGAAAATCCAGTTTTGCCAGATGTGCTTTGTTTCTAAAGATGCTGGAGTTGATGGAGCAGGACAGGATCGGAGAACCCCAGGGGAAGTGGCTGGTGGTGAAGCAGCAGGGTTGAGCCCCTCGAACATGAGCAGGGCTCTGGCAACGGGAGAAGGGGCCTTGACATTGCTATGAACCTCACCAGTGCTGGGCCCCGGGAACTGCCTCTAGGTGAGGCCTGTCCTCAGTAGACTCTATCCATCTGCCTTGGATAGAGATTGGGTCACGGAGCTCCTAATCACAGCATGTCAGTCTCCCCAAGGGCATGGAAGGGGAGCTGCCTTGAGGTCAGGCCCCTACCCACGTCCCCGCACTGTGTACTGCAACAAGCTAACCTTGATGCTGTGCTTCTAAAAGAAGCAGAAGCAGTGGGGGGTGGGAAGGATGAGCTCTGCACAGGTAGCTCTGGGACTGGTATTTCTGGGAATTGCTGAACGGCAAGCCCCCTCTTATCAGCCTCCACTTATCTCCTTGGTGGGGAATGGGCTCTAGCTAATCCCAGTAACCAAATATACTGCCAGCCAAGGCCAGAGGTAGAGGGAGGGAGGAGAAAGGGGTGGGGTAGGGTGGTGCTCAGACCCTTCCAGACTGAAGCTTGCTTGAGGCAGGCCAGGGTAGTAAAGATGTCCTTCAAATATCCAGTGCTGTCTGTTAGTGGGCCTCAGCTTCAACCATTATATATTCTTTCCTTTGGCTGTTTAAGGCCTTTCAGACTTGAAGCCCTTGATTAAAAAGCAAATATTCTTAGGACAAGAAACTCCTGAGTGTCTTGTCTATTAATACCTCTGGAAGATTGATTGGTAACTTGCCGAGAACAAGGTTTTGTGAGGAGGAACACAGAAGGGAAAAATGTGTGTAACTGTTAGTGTGCATGGGCGGGGGGTTGTGGAGAAGAAAAGCTATTAAAAAGGAGATAATGAAGCAGAGAGTGCTGTGCTCACAGTTTTCTCTTCCTGGGGACCTAGGAAGACTATATTCCCCAGTATTCCTTGCAGTAAACCTGGGCTCTGCAGCATGATACCGAGTCTGGCCAGTGCGATGTGGTTGGATGTGATATAAAGGCCAGACCTGGCCTTTATAGGATCCCCTGTGATCATCCATGATCCTCCAGTTCTCACTTTCCTTGCCACAGTGACCTGGGGGTCCATGTATCTCAGATGGCATAGCTGCCAGGTGGAAGGGGCTGACTGACCTACGTTGTTGTATTAAATCCTGAGATTTCACAATTAAATTGTTACTGCACCAAAATCTGCTTTGGCCTAACACATGTAGAAAAGAGGGTGCCGACAGATTTCTTAGTTTTTCCCAGGCAGATACGGCCCAGCAGTCAAGATCCCAGACTCTGGAGTCATAACGGTCTGGGTTCAAGTCCCAGCTCTACCACTTCAGTTTTAAAAGCTTACTCAGCCTCAGTTTCTTCTCTAAAATGAGGGTTGAATGAAACAATGCCTGTCACACATTTAACTCATCGTTTGGCAATGGCGAGTGATCACTAAACGTTAGCTTTGATGCTGAGCTGTTAGGAATGAGCGTGGGTTTCAGGTCAAATGTCCGCGCGTTGCAAATTTCTTCTTCTATTTCTAGGATTAACGACAAACCATGGCAAGCTTACCGGGGTTGGCGTGAGGGGTCACGTGATTGTGTTGGTGATCGTGCTGAGTACACGTGACGCAGCGGAGGTGAGTTAGTTACTGGTATTACTACTGAGATCAGCCCTAAGTCTTGCACAGGGAGCCATGACCTAGTTCAGCCGCGGGCAAGACAACATCGGGCTCACACGTCCAGGAGCTCAGGCTGGGGATGGGCTGGCAGTCTCAGGACGGGCTGATGCGCCCGTACGAGGACCACCCCAGTCTGGAGGAAGGGTCCCTGCAGGACAGAGCTGCCTCTGTCTCCTCCTCAGAGAGCATCCCTGTGACCCCAGCCTCAGCCCATCCTCCCGAGAGCTGGATTCACTGGGGCTCCTGGTGGGAGAGCTCAGCACTGCCTTCACTGATGTCTCTGCTGGTCAGATCTCTGGCTGCTGCCTGATTCCCTAGGCCACCCATGGGGAGGTGGTACCCCATCCTCTTGAGGATGGGGCTGGGGGTGAAGGCAGAGTGGAGAAAGGGGTGATGGGCCTCATGTGGCGTCATCTCACCGCTTCTCTCCTGGGGTGGGGGATCAGAGGGGTTGGGCCTTCCTGAACTACCCCCCAAGCTGCCCCGCGCCTTCTGTAGAGGGGCCAGCCCTCCACGTACAGTTAAGCTCGTCTCTGCTAAGGCCTGCGAGCCAACCTTTCCAAGGCATTTACCATGAAGCTAGTGAAACTTACACTCCAGGGCCACTCACCTGCCTGAGCCTCTTCTAATAAAAGATGACCCACGTTGCATATGCTTCAGGCTTCATAAAACCTGGATCTGCTCCTGATCTCTGCCCTGGTGAGATTTCTGGGCCTCCACTGTGGAAGAGCCCAGAAGGGGAGGGGGCGTCGGGGCAAAGGAAGACGGGGTGGGCTTGGCGTGCTCTCAGCAGCCTTCCCAGCTGCCTGTTCCTTCCTCCTTCCCTGAGTGGCGGGACACCTGGTTCTCTTTGGGCCACTAACTGTGTGACACTGGACGAGTCATTTTCCCTCTCTGGCCTCAGTTTGCTCATCTGTAAACAAGAGAATCAGACAAGACGGCTCCGAAAGCCCCTTTAGTTTCTGCCATTAGAGGACCGACCACCTCATTAGGGCCCCGCGGGGACTGGCCTGCTGACCGGCTGCTCGCCGGGCGTTGGGTCTCACCGGACCTTTCCGTCAACGTGTTGGAAGAGACTTGCTGATCTCCTGGAACAGGGCACCAGGTTGGGGAATCCCGTCCCGCCCCGGGGGAGCCTAATGGGGCTCCCAGAGTGAGGGGCCTGGCATATGTATGAGCACGTGGGGGTCCCAGAGAAAATGAGAAAGGCCTCTTCTCTCGCCTGGGGAGAGGGAAGGAAGAATTCACTGACCGTTACGCCTCCTATTCCCTTCTGAATTTGGGACCCACCCAAGTCAGAGAGAGACCCCACACCCCAGTCCTACTGGTCTCCCCTAAAACGGGGCCTGCCTGCGTTCCTGGGGACAGCATGGGGCTTACTCTTGACTAAGCTGAAACTAATCACAGTCAAGGTGGAGGAGGGTGAAGCAGCAGGGCAGACGCTCCCCGGGGCTTCATTCTTCTCTTGTGGGGTGTGGGCGGTGGAGTTAGGCAGACGTGGGTCCAAATCCCAGCTCTCTCGCTTCCTGGCTGGGTGGCCTGGGGCAAACGACTCAGTCTCTCTGAGCCTCAGTGTGTCTTCAAAATAGGGAAGCTAATATCTACCTCGTAGGATTATTCTAAGGATTAAATGAGATAATGTGTGTGAAAGTGTCTGGCATTTGGGAGGCCCTTGTGGCCACTAGTTCTTCCTATTATTAGCTCTACTCTTCAGAAGGGGATGACTCATACCACTGCCCTGGGGGTTCTGGGAAGCACAGAGGGGTGAGGCGAGGGGTGAAGGTGAGACTGAGGTCTTAGTGGGAACAGGACGTGTCTAGAGCAGTGGGAGGGCCAGACACCTGGTCCCGGCTGTGGCCTCAAGGAGTGAGCAGCAAAAATGAGAGCCTCTCCCCTCTCCCATCCCCGTTGCCCAGGTGGGACCCTCTGTTGGGAGGCCTGGAGCCCAAGGGGGAGAGTGGGGCCCACAGAAGAGGCCCTAGTGGCCAATGGAGTAGGCGCCTGAGTCCGTGGACTGCTTCTCCTCTGTGGTCTGGTCGCTGGGGTACACGGGGTTGGCCGAGGCCATGACCTTCAGCGTGGTCTCATTCACCTGTGGGCAGAAGGGCTGGCATGATCGTGCTCTGACTGTGGGCAGGATCCTCCTATGGGCCCCCGTGGGACAGACTCAGCCTTTGGGGCTCGCAGCCCGGTCGTAGGGGAGCTAGAGCGAGTCTGTGACCCCAAGACTCTTCCCATGCACCTCAAGGGCAAACAGACCTGAGCCAACCAGTAGCAGGATTTGTCCCTCACCGAAGCAAAGAGGGGACAGTGAGTGGATGCAGACGATGACCACAGAGCCCACTCTTGGCCGGAGCCCCTCTTGTCGGGATCCCCAGTACGCACTGAGGCCCCCAGGAGGTGGGCCCCTGAGAGTCTGGGCTCCGGCTCCCCTCCCTGCCCTGTTCCTCTGCCTCTCGTGGGCGCACCCCACCCTCCCCGACTCACCTCCTCAAACTTCTTGGCTTTGTACTGGTCGGCCCCCTTGAGGAAGTTTAGCAGGATGATGTCGCAGAGGACAGTCCCCTGGAGGTGGAGAGCGGGGCGGCTCAGCGGGGCTGCAGGGCGGGGGCAGCGCGGCGGGAAGCACGGGCGGCAGGCGGGACTGCCCTTGGGGTCGGGGTGAGTCCTCCAGAGACACCTGACTGATGGTTCCTCTTAGGAAAACATCGAGGGGCCTTGCAGAATATCTCCAGAACCCACCTCCCCAGCTCCTGGGGTGAGCCCAGACCAGACTGCAGAGGGAGGACTTGGTGGGAGAAGCAGAGGGACCGCGGGGGTCCAAGTCCCTGGGGAAGGGGCTCTGTCCCCACCTTGCCAGCTGGGCTCTGTTCCACAACCGGGCTCTCAGGTCTGGGAACCCCGGAGTCTCCTCGCCCCCCTACACAGTGGCGAACGGGGACTCTGTAGCAGGTGGGGGACTGCCGTGGAGTGAGTGAGCTCTCCAGGACTGGAGATGTTCACGCAAGGGCTGGCCCAGCAGGGAAGTGAGGGCAAGAGGTTGGGCTCACGGTCTGGGAAGGAGAGGGTCACCGCTTGCCCAAACCCTGCCAGCCTGGGCCGCACCCTGAGTGGCCCCTGGACTGAACCCAGAGGGGCTGCACTCACCACTCCCACAGAGGTGAAGGCTGCCACGGAGCTGATGATCGTGGGAATGATGTCAAACCTGCCAGCCTGTGTGCGCAAAGACCCAGGTGAGTGGGCACAGCTCCAACAGGGCCGGGGCGAGGCCTGACGCGGAGCTTGGACCCCCAGCCGGGAAGACCCTGGAGCCTGCAGGGCTCTTGGTACATCCGCAGGCCTCACCTGCTGTGGACATGTGACCAGCGAGGGTCTCAGAGCTGGTCAGTGGCAGGACCCTGCCCCCAGAGGAGCCTCTTTAGGGCCCAGGATGGGTCCAGGTTTCCTCCCCTGTCCCCCGTGTCTGCCTGGCCCAAGGACTCACATTTCCATACACCAGCACGTCGAAGCGGATGCCGAAAGCCTTCAGAAGCGTGCGGTACTCACTGCCGTTCTCTGTCTTGTAGTACTTGGCAAACCTGGAGGCCAGAGGGGAAGGTGGGTCCCGCTGTGGGCGCCTGTCTCTCTTGCCTGAAAATTCAGGGGCCTCTAGAGCCCTGTGACCCTCACCTACCGAGCAACCCTTACTGATGGTTTGGTGGGACACCTGCCGTGGTCCTCCCTGTGTGGTGAGCTGAACCCCTCCCTGCACAGGCGTCACCTTGGGGGTTTGTTAATAAGGCAGATTTCCAGGCCCCACCCTGAACCCATGGAATCAGCATCTCTGTGGGTGGAGCCCAGGACTCTGTCTTTTAAATAACGTCCCTAAATGATTCTGAGGTGTATGGAAGTTGGAGCCCAGCTGGACTCCAAGCTTCTTCAGTTCCTTTGTTTGGGTATCCCAGGGCCCGGCAGGGGCTCCCCTCTCCACAGGCTTCTCAGCCTACTTGGGTTCAAAGCCTGGTTCTGCCACTTGTCAGCTGTGCAACTTGGGCCAGTTGCTTAACCTCTCTGACACTCGATTTCCTCATTTGTGAGTGGGAATAATACAGAAGTCCCGCTTCAAAGGGTTGCCATGAAAATTGAATGAAACCACGTGTGTCAGGGGTTTAGAACAGTGTCTGGAACAAAGTAAGCACCCAGGAAATGCTCACTGGTGTTGATACTGCTGAAAAAATACGTTGATTTCTAGAGCAGTTTACAGAGCAGTTTTAAAAAGTGTCTTTAGACACCTCATCTCACAAACTTGTGGGATAGGGATGTGACTGCTCTGTTTTTCACATGAGGCTCCAGGGGTTAAGTGACTGGTCCAGGGTTACCCAACTGGCTGAGACCCGGTGCTGGATTTCCTCCAGTTCAAGAATTTGTCCTCTGTACCTTCTCTGCCTGGGCTGCTGGCTGCCAGGAACCGTGCTGGAGACTGATAAGAATGATCGCATTTAACTCTCACCAAACACGGTGAGGTGGGTGTTCATACCCCCATTTGGAAGATGCCTGTGGGGTGAAGGGACCCGCCTGTAGTCTCACAGTCAGTAAGGATTCGAATTGCATTTGGCTTTTGGCTTCTAAAGCCAGTGCGTTTCCCCTTACACGGCTCTGCCCACCACGGGCAAAACTCTAACGGTAGCAAAGTGCAATCTCTTTGGGCTACTGTCCCAAAGCTGTAACACAGGCTACTGATGCCAGCATCCCAGGAAAATGGTGAGGATTAAGTGAGAGGATGGTCGAGAACGAACTCAGAAACCTCTGTAACTGTGTGGCGTCGACATCGGTCTCATTCGGTGCCTCCCTTTCAGTGTTTCCACTCCCCAGAGATTCCCAGGCCAGTCCCAGGCCTCTCCCAGCACAAAGAGGGAGTCTGAGAAACTCCTTCCCTGGAAGTGTTCCGTGATTGACGTGACGCCCCTCCCAGGGATGTCTGCCTTCCAAACTGTCCAGCAGGGAGAATGAAGTGCTGAGCCCAAGGGGATAAATAATGGAGAGCTCACGGGCAGGGGAGGAAGGTCATCTGTGGTGGGGAAGAGCCTCCTGAAACTGTAAGTATCGGCCGCTGTCTGCTCTGGCTGCCAGGGAACTTTGGGGTCAGGCAGAAATGAGTTCAAATCCTGGCTGCACCACTTGCTGGCGGTGTGGGGCCTTTGAGGGGACTTAGCCCTCAGGGTTTGACTTCCCACGCCTATAAAATGGGGGCGCTCAGGCCCCCTTTGCAGGTCTGTTAGCGAGAAGGGTGACCCCTGAGACCGGCCCTCCGAGGCAGGTGCTCTCCTGATTCCCATGTTGGACATTTTGCCCACCCCTCCACACCCAGTCTCTGCCCTTCTCTGCGGGGCCTGGGAGCCTGGTCTGCAAAGACTGCTTCCTTCCTGCCCTCTGGTTCCAGCTGGGTTCAGCCAGTGGGAGGCACCCACAGGAAACCAGACGGTGGGAGGGAAGAAGGGCGAGGGCTTTTCCTGTCCCAGTTCCTCTGCTGACTTCCGTCCTGAGGCCCAGAGCCTGTCGGGTGCACCCTCTCCAGTCCTGTGACTGCTCCCTCCCCTTGCCCTGCCGGCTTAGCTGGTAGCAGCCTTCCTGTGGTGGCCGCTCTGGTCCTTCCCCAGGCTCCTAGCTTCCTTTAAACTGCCTGCATCTTTGCACACAGTCGTCCTTTTTTTTTTTTTTTCCTCCGGTATGCGGGCCTCTCACTGTTGTGGCCTCTCCCGTTGCGGAGCACAGGCTCCGGACTCACAGGCTCAGCGGCCATGGCTCACGGGCCCAGCCGCTCTGCGGCATGTGGGATCTTCCCGGACCGGGGCACGAACCCGCGTCCCCTGCATCGGCAGGCGGACTCTTAACCACTGCGCCACCAGGGAAGCCCTTACAGCCTTTTTAAGGCCTTAGTCAGGTAACAGGTGCTTTACTTGGGCACACGGCTACAGCCCTGCCCAGGCACAGGCAAGACAGAAGATGGGCCGCCCTCCCCCTGCACTCCTTCCTGACCCAGCTAAACCTCTCCAGGCCTGAGCTTCCTGTTCTGTAAAATGGGGATGGTAAGGGTCAGTGTCCTGGGAGGAAACAGTCAGTGGTCTCAAAAGGGACGACTGCCTGAATTGGAATTTTGATCCACCCTTACAACTCCAAAATCTGTGCTCTTAACCCAGAACTGTCCTGCCTCTGAGCTCTAAGTGGCCATTAAGGACACAGGCAGCCCTCGTGCTGGATCTCAAAGCCCTTCTGCAGTCTGTGTTCTGTCTCACATCATGGGAGAATTCAGGGCCCTTGTCTGAGACGTGTGGGAACTGAGAGATGGGGACCAGGCAAGGGTGAGAGGTGGGTCACAGATGCTAAGGGCCGGGCAGAGCCTGGGACTGTGGTCCTGAGGGCTACATCCCCAGCCTACGGCTGCAGCCATGGAAAATGCTCTGACATGGACCCGAACAAAAAGTCAGCATCCTGGGCACTGCCGTTCAAAGCAGGGCTGGCTAAATTTATCTTGGGAAGGAATGTGAAGGGAACAGGGAGAAAACCCAAAGCAGACTTGGTTTTCCTCCAGCACCTGCCTTCCAAGAGGCAATAAGCACGATAAGATCATATCTCACCACCCACACACCGTTGGAGGGGGTTTGGCAGGGACTGGTTCTCTACCCGGGAGGGCAGGAGGAGGGACAGCTCTTGGTGGGTGGGGGGAGGCCCCCGCTGCAGGCAGGGGAAGGACCCAGACATCCTGACTTCTGCACTCAGTGTGGCCAGTGGAGATCACAGAATCTGGCCCAACCCTGTGGCAGAGATGGGCTTGGCATTCACCAGGGTCTGGGTTATCTTCTCTCCTGGCACCCGGCTGGACCATATTTCCCAGCCGCCTCGCATCTAACCTGGGCCCTGTGACTTGTTCTTGTCAATAGACTGTGAATGGAAGTGAGGTCTGTTACGTCTGGGCTGACGTGTGTTAGAGTTGTGTGCCTTCCTCATCCTCCCTTTCCTCGTGGCCAGGTGCTGTAGAGCCAGGGGAGAACTGAGGCCCTAGAGGAGACATCCACAGGTGGCAGGAGCTCAGATCCCTGAATGACTGTACGGAGCTCCCCACCCACCCTGACTCACAGGGCACTGTGCCATGAGCAAGACACAAACCTTTGTGCTGAGCCACTGAGATGGGGGGGCTGTTTGTTACAGCAGTTAGCAATATTTACGCCGACCATTACAAACTCTTATAATGTTATTGCTGAGAAGATTGAGGCTCAGGGAGAAGAAGTATTTGCTAAAGGACAAAGAATGAGTTAAAATTGGGAGTCATTCAACATTAGACAGAGAGAAGGTAAGGATACCACATTCCTAGGAATAAACCTTCTAAGAAAGTCCAGGAGATCTGTGTGTGGGTCTATGGCTGTCTTTAACTAGCTTTCTGACCCCTGGCAAGTCACTCAACCTCTCTGAGCTTTTTACCTCGACTGATAAATGAGAGTAAAAAGAGCTACAGGAAGGATGAGACGAGAGATAGTACGTGCCCAGATATAGTACGTGCTCAAGTCATGTCCCTTTCCCTTCTTATCCTGAGATCAAGGTAAAGTGAAATAATAGTATCTAGACTTGTCTGAACCATTACACTCTCTGGCCTCCTGGAGATAAGAACACTAGTAACAATAATGGCCAACATACATTGAGTGCTTACTGTGTGCAAGGCACTGTGCTAAGTGCCCTACACCTACTAACTCATTAAATACACACAACCACCCCATGAGATCCAGTACTGCTGCAACTCCCATTTTACAGATGAAGAATCAGGATCAGAGACGTTATGCCACTTGTCTAAGGTCACACCACCAATAGTCAGTGAGTGGAGATGGGATTCAAAGCAGGGCAGTCCAGTTCTAGAGCCCACACTCTTAGCCAGTATCCTAGACTGTTTGTTGTTGTTGTTGCCTGGTTTCTGTTAGGTCCTGGCTAATTTCTTTCAAGTTCCCCAGCTGGGAGCCCCTTTTGCATTTGCAAAATGACCCAGAGTCATCAGGTGGGAGTAGGACAGAAAGCATAGGAGAGCCATGAAGTGTACGAAGAAGGACCCCAACCTCCTCATCTAAAAAGGGGAAGGGGCCTTCCTTGGCCTGGCTCACCTCTCTTTTGACATGTTCCCTCTGTTCTCTCCTTATCGTCAATGAACTCTCTTGCAACAGGGGAAAAAAAGGGGGGTGGGGGGAAGGGCTTGGAATTCCCTGGTGGTCCAGTGGTTAAGACTCGGTGCTTTCACTGCCGTGGGCCTGGGTTCGATCCCTCGTTGGGGAACTAAGATCCCATAAGCCACACAGCGTGGCCAAATAAATAAATAAATAAAAGGGCTGAGCTACCCCGTGCCTGGGCCCTGATTTCTCCCAAATCCTCCGATTTCTACCTCTCTGGCTTTGGTCTTCTCGTCTGGGAAGTAGAGTTGGTGAGAATGATACCTCCATTCAACACCTTGGCCTGGAATACCACCCTCCCCTCAACCTGGCTGGGTCCACCTTCCCAGCCTCATCGGCAGAACCCCTCTCACTGCACACACACCACGCTATCTGCTTCCTGTACTCCCCGA